AACTATCTGATTTGATTTGTTCATAGCCATGAGATTGACTTTAGAAAGACCCTACTAGTGAATGGGAAAACATAATCTTTATATGATTGACACCTCTTAATGCGTTCCTTTAGCAAGGGAAAATAAGAAGGAGAAAAACCAACACCACTAGCCCTTGGCCAGAAAGAAACTTTCGCTGGAATCTGTTTAATTTGCTTTCTTTGTTTAGTTTAAAAGAAAGTCTAAGTAACAATACCAAGTCTTTACTCATTGATCATTTTGGGTAGATATAACATATGCAATTCATGAGAGAGAGAGAGAGAGAACATGAGAATTACTTAAAAATGGAGTACAACAAAGTCGGTTCTCGTGGCCGTGCGTGCCCATTTGGCATTGGGGCTAGGAATAAACATTGAAGTCGTGTTTGTTTGGATGAGAGTTAGTTTGTGCTTTTTTTTAGTAAAAATCATGTTTTTCAGCTTTTGAATGTATGATTTGTACTTAAAAGATGTATCTTTGATAAAAAGTCACCACACCTCCAAGTTAAACATATCTAACACACTTTTATTTCACGTGGATCCCACTCAAAAACTGAGGTCCAACCTCAGTTTTTATAAAGCAATTTACAATTGCTTTTATGTTTGTGTTCTCCTCTCTCTTACCGACACTGCTAATTAGTTAACATAACTTTCCCAACTTGAGCTAACATTCTTTATTCCCTTCCCCTCTATTCCCTATGCACTAGATAATTAATTTTAATTTTGCTCATCACTCATTTAGGCAATGTTTGTTTTTTGGAAAGTAGTTTTCGAGAAATCACTTTCCATACTTTTTCGTGTTTGTTTGTCATTAAAAAATTTGGTCATGGAAAACACTTTTCAGTCAACGAAAAACACTTTCTGGTCAACAAAAAATACTTTTCAGTTAAAGAAAAATTTGGCTTGATTTTCAGGAAAGTGTTTTCCTTTTTGGTTGTGTTTGTTTTCCAGAATGTGGTTTCCAGAAAATCACTTTCTAAATTTTTTTATGTTTGTTTGTCATTAGAAAAGTTGGTTAATGGAAAACACTTTACAGTCAAAGGAAAATTTGGCTTGGTTTTCAGGAAAATGTTTTCCAAGAAAATTTGGGCGGAAAACATTTTTCAGAAGTTGTGAAAAATTTAGAAAAGTCATTATTCACTGATTATATCAAATTTGATACTTAAACTTTTAATTGCTATATATATTTTGTTTTGAATATTTATTTTTCAATTTCATCTCTTAAAATTTAATTTTTATATTAACTTTGGTCTTTATTTTTATAATTGCTATTTGCTTTTTCTTTATCATTTTTTTATTGAAATTTTTTATCTATCAAATTTGGTCCTCGTTCTTTTGATTGTTACTTATTTTATTTGAAATAATTTATGAAATGTTGATTATTATTATTTAATTTCTTCATCTTTTATTTTTTTTAATTTTTTATATTTGATCTCTATTATTTTGATTATTATTTATTTTATTTGAGATAATTTATGAAATTATTTTTTTTTCAATTTCATTATTATTCAACTATTTAATTTGTAAGATTGTTCCTAATGATTTTAATAAACTTGAGAAAAATAAAATATTAATAAGTTATTTTCCAGCTTATTTTCTATGATATAACCAAATACTGGAAACTGTTTTTCAACTTATTTTTCATTGCACTACCAAACATCAAAAAGTAATTTACTTTCCCAGAATTCACTTTTCAAAAGAAAAGTACTTTCCAGCAAACAAACAGGGCATTATTATCACTATTATTTTCTTCATATTATTTTGATCAATAGCAATACAAGCTCTTTTATCACTATCACTATTATAAGTTGAAAAATCAAGACCCATGTAATAACCAACATAGCAACATCTCACACACGAAAGCTCTTTTATTATTTGTTCAATGTATATATCGTTCAAGATATATTTTATATTTAGAAATTATATTTATAATACTTAATTATGTATTTATTAATTGTTAAATAATCTTATATCATGTATTTTTTTTAAAAAATTATATATCAACTACATACCTAACTTAAATAATATAATGTATTAGGTAATAATTCTATTTTCAAAGTCGAGTTCTTTAGTTCTTTATTCACTGGCATGATTAATACATAAAAACGCTTGTTTAACTAGAGTTTATATATATATATTAACCAAAGATAAAAGCGTCTGTTTAACTAGAGACTATATATATTAACCAAATACAACAAATTACTTTTTTTTCAACTATAATTTTAACCATATACATCAAAATTAAAAATAAACCTCACAAAAAGCATTTTTTATTAGACTGATTTTTTAAAACCACAATAGCAACCACAATATTAAACAGGCTACTGCAGTAGCTGCTGGTTGGCTGTCTTGAAGAGCCTGCTTGGAAGTGTCATTGCTATTGCGTTTCATTTAAAAATATATTAAAAAAATTTTAAAAAAATATTTTTGATATTAATACATCAAAATGATCTAAAAATATTAAAAAATTAATTTAAAATAAAACATATAAAAAATTAATTTTTTTTAAAAATATTTTTAAAATACAAATATGCTGCTCCTCCTTTTCAAGGGGAGAGACTAGCCCGCAAGATATTTGACGCTATTTATCTTCCCCATTAGGTGCTAAATGAAAATTGAAAAAAAAAAGGCTTTCAATAATTGTTTTACATGTTTAAAAAACACCAAAACCAATTTTTTAAAAAATAAATCAATTAAATATATAATGCGGGAAAAAAAATAGCATTGAACGCCTTGAAGAAAAAATAAATTATTTATTTTTCACACTTTAATACAATTAACTTTTCAGAAGGCTTTTCTTATTGAAGTATATATAGTAAAAAAACTTATATTTATATTATTTAAAATATTATTCTATCAATTTGACTCTTCAAAAAAGTATCTCACCTTGAAGATGCTCTTAAAAGCAAAAATTAAAGCACTAAGTCATTTTTTACTTTAAATAAACAATAAAATGATCACATTGTTGAATTAAAATTGTCTTTGCTTTAGTCAGAGGGTTTTTTTTTTTTTCCCTTTTTTGTTGTTGTAATTGTTAAGATTGATCATGTGTAGGTTCGTATTTATACATGTATAAAACATTAATTAATTTTTAAAAAATAAATTATAGTGACATTTGCGTGGACATGGATGGTAGCTCTCACACTCTTATTATTTTTTTTCACTTGTTTTTTTTTTTGTAATTATTAAGTTTGATCATTTGCACTTTCGCATTTAAACATGTATAAACTATTAATTAATTTAAAAAAATTGCGGGCACAGATGATTGCTCTTGCACTCCAGGACAACACATACAAAGTCACCTGATGACTAAATTCGAGCTGTCACAATAATGTTTTAATTCTTATGGCGTCACCCCTATTTAGACGCATCGTGTGTGAAAAAAAAATCAGGTTTTGGGTTGATAATTTTTTTTTTTTTACTTACCAAATTTTTTTCTTCTTTTTTTTCACTCCTCTCTTTGATTTGCGTTGATGGTTGATTTCATAGCCTTCCTTTCGTATTTTCAAAGAGTTTATTAATTTTTTTTTAAAATTTAATTTTTAATTTTTAATTATTTAATTTTAAATAATCCATAAAATTAAAATTTTCTTTCAATTTAACCCTCTTTTAATTTTTTTACCTTTTAAATTTGCTCCTTTTTTATTATTAATTTTTTATTCACTCTCTTAATTAAATTATCTTTTCAATTATATTTTTTAATATTTTAATTTGTTTTATTTTATAAAAGGTTTGATTTTTATTCTTTAATTATTACTTGTTTTATTTTTAATTTTTTTATTATAATTTTTTATTTTATGTCTTAATATTTTATTTATCATGATTTTATTAATTTTTTGAGTCATGAATTTGAAAGATTGAATCAAGTTAACTTAAATAATTTTTTTTATATCTATTTTTATAATTAATTCTTTCTTATTTTATTTTTTATGATATTATCTCGATTTCATGTGACTAATAATCATTGTATTTTAATATAGTTTGACTTGATTTTATATTTTATTTATTTATTTATTTATTATTATTATTATTTTTAATTATATTATCAAAATAATTAAGATTTAATATAATTCTCATATTTTTTTTTATTTTTTTTTAAAATACTATCTCCATCTAAATATTTTCTTTCAAGTTGATTTTTTTTTTTCTAGTACGAGACATGACACAAGCCACCAATCTTACTTAGTCACTATAGTTTAACCAAACCAATTACTTACTCCTCTTGGTTTAAGAAAACATGTATTTAATCCCTATATTTTGAAATTTTTTTATGATCAATTTCATATTATTTTTCAAACGAGTAAATACTGTACCCTGAGTTATTATAAAATCACAGCCACCATCCAAGATTTAAAAAAATTACATAACCACCCCTTTATAACCAAAACACCTTTATTTTTATTTTAAAAATTGAATCATTAAATTTTAAAAAATAAAAATTATAAAAGAATAATCATATTTATTTTTGTTAGATGAACAATATTAATTTCATTTTGAGTTCTTTGAATATCTTTCTATATTTAATTTTCTTATCTATCTTTTTTAAATAGCAATCAAAGAATTTTTTATATAAGGAGGTTTGCAGTTTTCTCTTAAATATAAAAGGATTTGTTAACAGATACTCAAACTTTTAAATGCTGACTGTAATTTTATAATACAACAGAAAGATTATTGTAATTTAACATTTCTAATTTATTTAATGTTATAGTTATTAGAAAAGTATAATAAAGAAAAAAGTAAGAAGGTAAGATGGAGATATTTGATTTGGAAAGAAGCCATTGTTGAAAAAATAAAACTATTTAATAATTTACTAATTGATTAATTATAATAACAATAGGGATTAAGTTAAAATTAACTCAGCTTCAGACTTCAGTCCCATGATGGGAGAAAATATGCCGTTTGGATACTACGGTGTCGTATCATGCACCTGGTCAAAAGGGTGGGTGTGTATATATATCGCTAAAAATTAATGGAGGCTAGGGTTTTAGCAGGGTTTTCTTTTTTTTTTAATCAATCTTAATAATGTCGACGGCGGATTCCTTGTCGGCGTCGGGGCGGAGCTCGGAGAAGCTGAGCCTTCAATCTCTCCAATCCAAAATGAAAATTGACCCAGAAGGTTACGAAACGGAGCTCGGCTTGGTTTACAACCAATTTAAGTCGGCTTTGGATCTTTTTCAACAGCAAGCAGCTCTCAGTTTCGCCTCCTCCTCCGGTGTCTGCGCTGACCCCACTATTTACAAGGACCTCAGTGACCGCGCCACTTTTTTGTCTCATGTTACGCCTTTTTACCCGAAGCAGCTTGCTGAGTTTCCAGCTCAACTCGCTGAGTTTCTCAAATCGTCTGCTCGGACTCTGCCTTCGGGACTTCGGTGTCATGTTACTCAAGCACTTATTCTACTGATTAATCGAGATGTATGATTTTTTTTTCTTTTTTGAATTGCCCGTTAATTTGTGACAATTATTTTCTAATTTTGTGGATTTGATTTGGTATAATTTGTCGTTAGATGGTTGATATTAGTGAAACTCTAGCATTGTTCATGGAGCTTCAAACACTGGGAGATAGGACATTGAGGAATTTGGCTTTTACTCATGTTGTTCATAGCATTAGGAGGATGAATAAGAAGCATAAAAATGAGGCTAAGAATCGGGCCCTTCAAAATATCCTCTTTTCCTTGCTACAGGTTTGTAATCTTTTGCTTGCTAGTATTATCATCTATCTTTGTGCATTTGTTGGTTTGCATTATCGTATTATTTTTTAATGTTCACTTAGCAAGATGATGAAGCGCGAGCGAAGAGAGCACTCATCACACTATGTGAGCTTCATCGAAGGAAGGTGTGGTTCGATGATAGAACTGCAAATTCAATTTGCATGGCATGTTTTCATTCATCATCAAGGTTAGCTTTCCCCTTTTTATTTTTTTTGAGGTGGTTGCTGTGGAACTTCTGCTTTCCAATTTTTGAAATTTGATTGCCTTTGTCAGAATCATGATTGCTGCTCTGTCTTTTCTCCTCGATTATGAGAAGATTGAAGATAATGACAATGATGATAGTGATGCTTCAAGTGGCGAAGACGATCCAAATCCTCGAACAGCTCAAGTTGTCATTAGTAAAGAGTCAATTTATAAGGTCAGATACACCTTATATCTTCTTCTTTTTTTGAATTCTAGAGGCAGCCATTCTACAGTAACTAACAACAGCCACTATCATAAGAGTCCACATGGTTAGTAACTTATTGCCAACTGGTTAAACAGTTAGTTTGTCTAGCAGAAACTATTATAAAAAACTGAGCCGCTAAGATGAACTTTGACTTTGGTCATCCTACTCAATCTCACTATCTACCAAGAAAGAATAGCAAAATCATATATCCAGTAGCCAAACATCACATGAAACCAGCACCAAATCACCCTTAACTTGTGTACAATCTTGGAACTCCAGTGTGTCTAGATGTCTTCAGGTTCCAATCTACAGAATCAATTTAAACGGGTATGTTACACAACCTCACCCTTCTTGGCTGAACTGGCGATGATACATCGAAGGAGGTGCCATATAATTCATTAATGACAGTTGAACAAATATGGTTAATTTACAATATTTTGTTGCTGTTTTGTCAAAACCTCAGGCACACAATAAAGGTACTGTAGCTAGCAAGAAGAAAAAGAAAGCAAAACTGCAGCGTGCTATACGTAGCATGAAAAGGCAGCAACGATTGTCATCAGAAAACAACAATTCAAATTATTATTCACCATTCAACCATCTTAAAGACGCCCAGGTTTTCCTCTTTTTCTATAATTTACTGAGTGTAGTTCTACAGATTCTGAGCATTTGTACGCGGGATAACGAGATTTTAGGATTTCATTTTGCTTGCAGGGGTTTGCTGAGAAGCTATTTTCTCGCCTTCAGACTTGCAATGAACGTTTTGAGGTGGTTATGAAATCTTGGCTTTGGCAAAGTTTGTGGTGTGTCTGTTAGCATATACACTTGCATCTTTTCTGTATTGTATGTTGGTATCACATAAATACACATGTGTGTCTGTGTATGCCTTGTTTTGAGTTCTGAAAAATAACTGGAAGTGGGTTCATGGACAATGAGTAAAAAGAATGGAGAAAATGTTGGAACACTAGGGGTTATATTGAGATTCTTGTTCCCAGAAAGCTGCACTGGCTTTTATATTTTTCAGTTAGATTTGTACATTTTTTATTGACGTCAAGCTCTGTTTAAACTTCAGGTCAAGATGATGATGTTGAAAGTAATTGCTCGAACTGTGGGGCTCCACCGCTTGATTTTATTAAACTTCTATCCTTTTCTTCAGAAATATGTTCAGGTGTGCTATTAGAATGAATGAAAGTTATGCTGTTGGCCATGGAAATATGGCCACAGCCTTTCTTATTACCCTCTTTTCTTTGATCCTAAGGTGGTATTGTTCTGTGCAGCCACATCAGCGTGACATCACGAATTTACTTGCAGCAGCTGTCCAGGCCTGTCATGATCTGGTAATTTGTCCATTTTGATTGATTGAATCCAATGCTGTGATCATAGTTTTTTTTTCTGTAAATTTATTCTCATCGACTTCCATCCTCTTCTACTTACTTCTATATGATTCTTAGATTTTTTTCCTTGCTAACTCACTGTTTTTGCTGTACCAGGTGCCTCCTGACGCAGTTGAACCATTATTCAAACAAATAGTAAATCAATTTGTACATGATCGCTCGCGTCCTGAAGTATGATCACCAGCTGCTTTGCTACGATTGTATTCTAAAATTGTAAACTGTTTGTCCTGCTGACTTTATTTGCTTGTTCCAGGCCATTGCTGTTGGACTGAATGTGATCAGGGAAATATGCTTGCGTATACCTTTGGTAACTATAACTCAGTTGCCATTTTCTTTTTGACTACTTGTTTCTGTTTCTTAAAATATTGATGAGCTACAAAGAAATATTTTTGTATGCTATTAATGTGCTTCCTCTATTAGAATTGTTTTTTATGGAAATATTTATCTCCTTAGTGATGTTGCATCTCTTTGCACTCATCAGTTCAAATACAGATATTCTCACATGTGAAGTTTACTTTTATTGAGAAATGTAATATTTTGCTTCTGTTTTCTAGTTGATGAATGAAGATTTGCTGCAAGACCTTGTATTATACAAGAAATCTCATGAGAAGGCAGTTTCAGTAGCTGCTCGTTCACTCATTACTTTATTCAGAGAGGTACTAGAACTCTGTGCCTCAATATGCTTCATCTGTCCATGAGTACCGGTTTTTGCAAGTCATGCTTACAGGCACGACTAATACAGTGAGACTAATTGCTTCCTTTACTTCAGGTTTGTCCTTCTCTGCTGATTAAGAAAGATCGAGGTCGTCCCATTGACCCAAAAGCTAGGCCGAAGGCCTATGGAGAAGTCAATATTGTCAGCAGTGTTCCTGGTGTTGAGTTGTTAGAAGAACTTAATGATGATGATGATGAAGACAAGGAGGACAGGGATGATATTGATGATTTGGCATCCTGTGGCTCTGATGATGATTCTGAAAATGAGGAGATGGTATCTGCCAGTGATGAAGGAGACCAGATTTACAGTGATGACACTGAAAGTGAGGATGATGACATGCAAGATTGCTCAGTTGATGAAGATGGTGATGATGCTGCAGACAATGACAGTGGTGGTGGTGAGGGGGGGGATGAGGATGAGGATGAGGATCAGGAGGAGAATGATGAAGACAGTTATGTGGTGGATGATGAGCTTGAAAAAGCTAATGTTGCTCATGGAACTAATGAGAGTAATGCGAGGGCAATCATAAATAAAGTTAACAAATCTGCTGATAGAAAGAGGAAGTTCTCTGATTTTGATGGGCAACTTCTAGCAGCTGATACAAGTTTGCGGGCTTTAAAGAAAATGACAGAAGAGAAGTTGAAGAAACCACCATCAGACTCTACAGATGGTATTCTTTCTAATGAAGACTTCCAAAGAATCAAGGAACTTAAGGTATGTTAATAGGTTAACATTGATGTCATTATTGATATATGCTAACCATGAAGTGTTTATTTGACATGTTTTTCATGCGCTAGGCCAAGAAGGATGCCAAGATTGCTTTAACTCGGCAAGGATTTAAGGTTCCAAGTTCTGATGATCTGAGTGCTAAGCGGGTGGATCCTGCTAAGCTTGAAGTAAGTCTTCTATTAGTTATTACTGATGAATAGTTTCGCTTGCAGTTATGCCTAGATATGTGAACTAACTTAAATGTCTGTTTCAGGTTTCTTCTTAAAAGTTTTCTTCCTAGTTAAATGTTACTTCTTAAGCTAATGCCCGCGCACGCGCGCACACACACATATATATATTGATAAGCTCTAAGAGATATATAATTTGCTCTGTGGTTCTGTTTCATAGGTTCATGTACGGGCAAGGCTAAACAAGGAAGAAAGATTAGCACTGGTGAGAGCCGGGAGAGAGGATAGAGAGAGCTACAAATCTAGAATCGCTGTAAAACAGAAAAAGGTGCTCATTCATTTTTCATAAGCTTGCATTTTGGGGTCCTAGTCCTGAAATCCAATTCTTCTTATTCTCAGTAATAGCTGATTCTGGCACAAACTTTAAAATAGATCTTTAAATCTTGCGGCGCATGTTCGGATTTGGTCAAAGCATTAATGTGTTTATGTGATTTGCTTGATTGTTTGACTAACTTATTTCATGGTTTGTGCTGACAGACTGGCGGGCAGAGCAACAGGCAGAAGGAACACAAAAAGCAGATGCCTCTTGCTGCAAAAAGGGCCAAGGTAGCAAGATCTCAACAAGAGAAAAAGAGAAAGCAAAACCTTTCTGGCAAGCAGTTCCGGGGGAAGAAAGCATGGAAATGATCAGAACCGTGTATTATCATGCCATGAAGCATTTTTTTATATATAAAATACCAGACTCTCTTGGAGGATATAGTTTTGGTTTGTTGGTGACCTCTTATACGCCAACTGTCTAATTACAGTACCAGCAAAACAAACCATTGAGTTGAGAAGGATTTGGCTAATTATTACCAGGCAAAAGCGCATCAATTCATGAAGATTATGGAACGGTATGCTTGTCTGGTGAAAGCTTCTAGGTGATGCAGTTTATTACTAGGGCATAAAACCTACGTGTCAAAATAGGTGATTCAATACTTAAGTAGTAATTGATTATTGATTGTTGTTTCAAGACAAAAGAGATAGATCATGAAGATAAAATAAAATATAAAAATATTTTTTTTATTTTTTAAATATATTACGAAGATTTATTATTATTATTATTATTACCACGAAGCTTAACATCTTTAAAAAAACAAATAGAGATCTTTTTTCCTTTGTTTTATGTTGAGTGTTAAAAATATAACTTCTCCACGGGTAAAAAAAATATTTATGGTTAAGAAGATAATGTAACTAAATTATTTATTCAAATGTATATAATAATAAATTAATTAATTATATTTCAAATAAGATATTGATGAGACAATTAAATTGCATCTTGCATATTAGATAGAACAGGAAAAGCCATAAAAACTCATTAGAAGTAGGAGAAGCATGTTCGAGAATATTCTAAATTTCTAATTTGACTCGACATTTGGTTATGCCAGATAACTAGAAGTAATCGACTGCATATCATGCCATGCAAATATACAAAGCAACATCCTTCGTCAAAACAACAATGGCATTGCTGCCTTCCAAATTGAGGTCTACAATCTTCCCACTCTCCGTCTAAACTTTAACCGGTAGTGGACGTATAAAGAATAAGAACGCTAAGCATATACACACTCCATGGCATGATTGTGTGAGCATCAGAAGGTAAATTGTGCATCAGCTATAAACAAGTCAACCAGGAAAATAATAACATGAAAAAAACTAAGTGATGAAGCCTCTAGTTTCTCGAAGAACTCAGGTGCTGGCAATATCCAGCACTGGTTACTGAAAACATGCCACGTTCATGGAATAAATCTTCTTCATGCTGAAGTATTAAAAACCTGACAGCGCCCGTATGCATCTACCTATCTCAAAGCGAAAATACAAATACTGTAATTGAGCAGTCTCTGTCAGGTCAAAGAGACATCTAAAGGCAGGGCAGTTTGAACGTAGCCATATCTTGCTATTTTTGCCAGACATTGTATGAGGTTCAGGAGCACACATGCTTACTGGTTGCATATTTCTATCTTAATCTCCAACGTTTTTTGGCTTCTACAGAATATGTTCTGCAAGATTTCCTACAGAATATCTTGCTATTAGTCTCCAACTTTAGGTTTTTCAGTCAGCTTCTTGGCTACATCTAACAACAGCACCGACTCACCTTCGGACTTGGCACTGTGTCCTCTCTGAGTTCGATCAGTCAGGGACAGAGTTCGAAGGTTCGGTCTAAAAGGGTATGTGAATGGTATGGAGATTTGAGACGTGCGTGGAGAAATCTGGGGTTTGAAGAGTCGACTGAGTTTGGAACGAAATGAGTTGGAATCGGCTTGGCGCTTGGAGGGGAAACAGATGCGGGCTTCGGAGAATGTTCAAAAGGGTGTCTTAAAAGCAATTTGAAAAGAGAAATCTGCAATCGCTTCTGCATTTTCTTTATATTTTCACTAAGCAAGAAAGAAGACCACCCAAAAAAATTCTCCAGTCTAAATAGAGATCTATTCTTGGTAAATTTGTTAGTGTATAGAGAGCACGGTTTTAGAAAATTACGTCACAACTTCAATGGATAGCCAAATGAGGAAATAAAATGTCTCCATGATCTTTTTTTAAAAAAAAAAGAAAAATGAGTCCTTTTTCGTAAGGATTGAAATTGATTTGAAAATTGTCCTACATCAAAGCAAGTTGGATCCCCAATCTAGGGCTCATAGAGGATACTATGAATAGTCACTGACCTTGAAATAAAAATTTTCTTTCAACTTCATGGGAGGCAAGGATATTAGACATTAATAAAAAAATGAACAAAAGATGATAACTATGAAGAAGAGTGTGTACCTTGAATAATTACTGCACTGCAGGTCCTTAGATTTACCGATTTCCTAGGATAAACCAAAAACTTTGAATGCTAAGATTACAAAAGATACACCTAAACATTGCAACTCTCGTTTCCAGTTCCCAGTTGAGTAGAGGGAAGGTAAGAAAAACATGAAATGCAGAAAAAGAATGGGAACCAGAACATATTAGCAAAAACATGTGAAACCGCTTACTCTTCCACTAAACCTGAAGACGAATCAGCACTCTGACCAAATATATCAGGAATTTCATCCCAGTTCTTTATCTCTCTTGTTTCCCAGTATCCACCTATATAACAGTAACAACCATCCTCATCCTTCCGAAACCATCTTGGTTGCCACCCCCTTTCCTGCAATTTCCTTGCCTGTCCCAGAGAAGACATAAATTATCAAGCTTCTCTTTTACTTGAGAAAAATAAAAGAAACGAAGAATGCCCCCTTTTTTTTTTCTGATGAGTACAAGTGAAAGGACACACACGCGCACTAAAGGACTTCGGCACCATTTGTTTGAGTTTGGAACTGCATTTGAGTACGTTTTAAAAATAAATATGTTTGACTTGAAAAAATATTAAATGGATGTTTTATTTAGTGTTTTTTGGTTTTGATATATTGATGTTAAAAATAAAAAAAAATATGAGAAAAATAATTTTAATATATTTTTAAGCAAAAAATACTTCTAAAAAACACCATTCACCGTGATACCAAGCACATACCTCATACAAGGCCATAAACTGAAAGACTTTTAATGAAACCCCGATATCATCTAACTAATTAGCGTAGAAGATGAATTTATGATTATAGAAAGCAAAACCTATCAAAGGGTTTCCATCACAAGACCTAGAGATAATGAGAGAGCCAAAAATCTCTAGATAAATGAAAGTGAATTAAAAGGATATCGATATTCTCCAACTGCACACCTCTATATTTTATTTGTTCAGCTAATGCCATCACCTAATAAAAGATAGATAAACAGGTTTTTACTTGTCTTTGCAGCTGCTCAAGTCTCAATCTCGAGTCAGTAGGAGGCAATTTCTCCAACAAGCCAGGAGTCAGTTCATTCAAAGATATTGCAAAAGGTGTGAGATTATATCTGGAACAGATTGGTCCCTTTCCCAGAGCAAGACAGCCTCCGTCATCAGATCATAACCCTCTGGCTTTGCAGTCGGATCCCGAAGCACATGATACATTGCTTCATCCCACTTCCCGACCAGCATTGCTACCTTCCCTCCAGTTCTATTATCTTGTACAAATCCATGGACCTACAGTAGAAAACGGATCTTACTTCTGTTATATTAAAAAAAAATACCCTACCTAATCAGTCTATTATCAGCAAGTAGCTGGTTCCAGCACGACATCAAACAACTGCACCCATCTGTGTCTTGTTCATCTATTAAGTTAGGGCCTGTCGAGTTGCCAAGTATGTGCGAGCTAGGGATTAAGTCAGCATGGTTGTAAGCACATGACAGATGTAGAGAAACAAAGTGCAGCAAAGTACCAGAACGGATAATTTTCTAATAGAAATCAAACTGTGAGAATGGAAAAATGTATAATCAGTGTAAACACCAATTTGTTAGTGATATTCTTTAATGCACACGCAAATTGTTCTTTAATGGATGGAAAGAGAAAGAGTACAAGGTATTTAATTTCTTTCTACTCAGGAGCACTAATTGATGGACCATCAACCAATTTATAATGATTGAAACAAATATGAGGCGTTAAACAGATTATTAACAGGATACTAGGGCAAGGAAAAGGTGTCAAAAAAAAATTGTGTACAAAGCCCTACATGAAGGTCCTTAAACTAGGCAGGCCTTAGCCACACAAGGCATGCACAGTGCCTGATCAAGCAGCTCAAACTAGTGCCATTGACTTCTTTTATAATTATCTGGCTTAATTCAATTAAAGTTATATTATGGTCCCCACAGTTATCTCTGAAGTTGAAAAAGATTGGGCTGGAACTTCGAAAGACTTGAGGGACAAGTACATGAAAGAGAAGAAACAAGAGCATTGACAGACACAAAGCCAAGGAAGCCAAAGAGAACCACTATCTCATATGATAAAGGGATCCTCTAGAAATGTTCTATTATGAATTTTATACTTCTGATGTATTTAGGCAGATTCATTGTTTGAGCCATATTCCTACTACCATTAATGGAAGTGTCCTATAAACAAACGAGAATGGAACCAAATGTTATATTTTTCATTTTGTGTTTGATAATTGCTTTGCATGTTAATAGAATACAAGTTTAAAAAATCTTGAATAGCTTACTTAGAACTTCAAACCACAGCTATAAGTTTTAAAAAAATATAATGGCTTAGAATCTCGAGCCACAACTTTTCAGCAACAACACAACATTCTACTACTTCAACCAATAGGCTAAACAAATTATATTCAACTTTTAAACATTTCTCGTATTATATCTTTAAAACCACTTTACATAGGGTGCCCCTTAGTTCACTCAATTGCAAGGTTGCACTTGACCCTGGGCCTAGGCTTAGAGCCATAAGAGCTTTAAGAGTGCCTGGCAACTTTGACAACATTAGCGTTTATATTAATGAAGGGTGATGTTAATCTTCACTTTTTTTGTTGCAATCTTATTTAATGTGTTGCTTAAACAAGATTATATTGATCATTACGACAAAAGGTGAGGTGGAAATAACACCAACCTTCATATGTTAATGGTAAACTCTATTATGTTATAATATTAATACAAATCTATATTGAAAGAGAATATTTGCAAATGTTTTGGACTTCGGCCTAGTGTTATCTCATACTCTCTGTGTATATATTTAAGCAAGGAGAATATGATAGTTGTTCTAATAGATCCAGCTCTAGGCTAGCCCAAAAAGAGCAAGTTATAACGATTGCTATCATATTTTCTCAAGTTGTTTATAATGTAGGGAGATTATCAGGTACTCTCAATGTCATCCTCCCTCCCTTGCATGAAAGTAGGACTCACAAGCAGTTATCATGGTGTGTCTCACTTTTATATGAATGAAGAAGCAATGCGCTAATAGTTATAACAATTCTATCTCTAAGCTAGCCCAAAAGAGAGCACGTTCTTATAGTTAAAATATTATCTCAAATTGTTTATAATAGAGATTGTAAGGTGCTCCTGGTGCAATGCTCCCTCGCTCGCATAAAAGTGCAACCCACAAGTAGTTATCATGGTGGATCTCACTTTTATATGATTAAAGAAGCAACACGCTAGTGGTTGTAACAATTCCAGCTCTGGTCCAC